TCTTGCTAGGTTCATTTTCGCATTGGCTGCTGATTTTACGAATAGGTGTAACCGAAGGCCGTGTAGGTTTTCGATGAATACGTCTCCTCCACTTCTCCCCAGCTTCGGCTATATAGCCTTGTGACTGACATCTGGGAGGAGTTCTATCAGGTTTCGGTTCTTTTTTGAAACACTCCATAATTTCGTTTTCCCTTGCCAGAAAATGGCAGAAGTAGTATCGCATCCGCTGAATGCGTGAAGGAAAAGTTCGAATTTGGAGAGCAATCCCATTCCTCCTCGACTGAAATAAATGGTGGAAAACTGAGTGCAACTTGACACACTCCTGCCACTTTTCTGTAAGTATACATTTCGGATGCCCGAGTCCAAGCTGAAGAGAGTCCACATCCTCTCTAACTACGATCATGTTCTCGTAAGAAATATGCTTTCCTCAAGGTGGTTCGGATTATATCACAGTCTGCATCATCTGACGTTATCTTAGTTTCAATGCCTTCGAGTCCAAATGCAGAACAAAACTGATCAATCAGGCGTCGTTTATTCGAATGATAATTGAATTTTGTTGAAAGAAAGGACAGCGTAGCGACGCGATCGTTCTGCGGTTTTGGTACTCCTGGGAGCTCCATCTTTAGGATATCCTTCAAACACTACTGACACTTTTCTGCCAAATTGGTTCAATGTTTAGATATAGCTAGCAACGATTGCTCTGATAGATTTGAAAAATAAACTCGATGAAATATACATAGGGTGGAGAACCGAATGCGACTGAGTAGTAAGAAATATGTCACTGGGTGATGAGGTTGAATAGAAAGGGAGAACGTGCGTCCATGAGTTCTGAGAGATACAGCCACAGTATAGATAGACATAGACACTTAAGGAAAACAGTAATTTCAGTCAGCACGTTTCGTGTCCTAAAAATCGCAGTGCGCTTGTGCACTCGTGGTTAGTATGCGCAGTAGCTCAGCTAGCAGGGCAGGTGTTTTGTTTACACTTCTTTGATTTATATGCCTTTGTAATTCATTCCACTATATTGCAGTTGCAGGGTATTTTAAAAAAATGCAGCAACATACTTGTGGAGCCTATAGTCAGAAACAGAACTGATTGATGGAGGAATTTATTCATGTTTTAGAGCATATGAAGATTCTGGTGAGGATACATATGGAAATTTGAATATGCCTCACCAGGATATCTTTTGATACCTAGGAGAATGTGAAAATATATTTGCTTCGAGTTTCCCTGATAATTTTTCAGTCCAGCCTAATGCTGCTATCAGATTGAAGGAAGTATAGTGGAAATTTCCCATTGGATTATCAAAACAATTTGTTTATTCCAACAAGGATTTTTTATACTCTAAAGTTTATGAACAGAGTTATCACAACCAAAAACTAAAAAACAAAAGTTAAAATTGAAAGTTGTGCAAGATATATAATCTTCATCATTTCAGATTTAGTTATCATAATGATCATTATTTCTTCATGATTCAAGTTAAACATACAATTTCTCATTCGATTTCGAATTGACCAAATAATACTCTTAATATTGACGTGAAATTCTTGATTCGGTGATATGTGATCTTATTGTGTACCGATAACAAATAAGGTATAAACAAACATACTTATTATTTATGGTTTTTATGCCCACAATATGGTTTTTCATGCCTACAATTCTGTATTTTTTTGCTCACGAACAGTCATATTTAATTTAAGTGTGAAAAAGAACATAATGTCAAGAACATTTGAAGTTTGGTTAAATTTCCACTACTTTCTCTAAATGAAAAATGAAAAACCTTCAAATATTTTTTCAACGACAATTCATTAATTTTCACTCACAGACATAATATAATACTATTGTGGTTGAACTGTAATGTGAAGTCAAACACAACACCAAAAATATATTTAAATCTGTTTTTTTTTGTTCAATTCAAATTGAAATCCTTCTATGGGCAGTAAGTGCGTAGATAGGCTAATTATTCATTTGAAGCCGGACCTGTTCACATAAAATTCAGGGACTTTTACAGCATTCTTCCGTGATGACGAGAGAGTCATCATTGGCTTGCCATTGGCTCGACCAAGCCCGTAACGCGCAAGTCTGTGCGTGGTGGTTAGGCAATGGTCTGGTAAAAAATAAAACTTGAGGACATCAACATCAAAAGTTCCGACAGAAGTATAATTACTGTTTTCCGTAAGGGTCTATACTGTGATACAGCCCTCTCACACACCACCTTGGGCAAGTGGACTGATAGTGAATTATTGGCATTAAGTGGACTGATAGTGAATTATTGGCATTCAATTTACTGTGTCCTTAGGTAACTCAAAATTGTTGAATTTTAAAGCTCATTTCAAACGTACCGTCATGGCCGCCATTTGGCGATACGTCGAATAAATGGTAACGTCAGTTTTTATGCTGTTTCGTAATTGGACAGATAATCTTCCATTTCCACTCATGAAGCAAGGTTTGAAAGTCACCAATTATAATCAATTTATCAAAAAGATTACGAGTCCTGTCGTTGTATAAAATAGGAGATGAAACATAATATGGGGAAGCCATTATATAATAGTTCATTCTTAACTTTTTCAAGCAACCAGCATGTCTAAATATCCCTTATACCTACCCCATAACAAAATAACATGTTGATGTTGAGGACTTGACAACAATGTGCTGAATGCTGAGAACTGACAAGGCACCGCCCACAATTCGTGATACCATGTTGCCACGTTTACCCTCAAATGTCCTGTAGTGTGAATTAATAACATGATATTATTATCAACACAAATGTTTTAAAAGCAATAAGCCACAACAAATCAGGGAATATTTTGAGACAATTGATTTTTTATGACTGATTAGGAATATCACCAATTCAAAAATTGAGGATTTATGAATTATTGAATAACTAATATTTCTGAAGTTCCCAGTCGTATTTCAACACATGGCAACTGTGCTATGGTCTGCCCCTACTTACGAAATCGTGACGTCAATTTTTACCCTCGGTAAATTTTCAGCCTTTTGAAAATTACCGTGGCATTATTGTTGATTTTAGCACTTTAAAATCGAACGAAAAATTCTGAAAAAATATTAAATTGAAAAGTATTTCAGTGATCATTCTATTTAAGAAATAAAAAAAATTATCCAATCGACTATTGTCTGCATTCCCCCAACGTCAAAAGCTCACAAATCCTTATGAGAAGTGTAGGACCATTTCTTAAAAAAAAACTAATTTTACAATTGTTTTTTTTTCTTAATTTCAAGAAAACTATCAGATCTAGAGACTTCCTCTTGTGCTCAAATGAAAGCCATACAAATTTACTTTTTCCCCAAAGCTTTTTTCATAGGTTGAGTGCATATATGGATATTCGGCTGGAAACAAGAGCAAAGCTTGAAATTTATATTTTTTAGGAAAATTTGCAAATTTTTCAAAGTACTATATCTTGAAAACTATTGAAAATACAGAGTTTCAATTCAGCTGAAATTGTTGCAAATTAATTCTACTTCAAAAATTGTAATCACATCTTTTATAGAGAAACACATAGTTTATGAGTTATAAGGCAACATCTGAAATATATATAATATAAATATTTTGCCGTTTTCAACATATCACAGAGCAAGCACAGGTTTTTCAAAGCTTCAAAGTTGGGTTCACACTACCCTTACTCAAAAAACCAGAAAAACATCATGTTTTGCGATTTTAATGTCTTATTTGGTGTATAAGGGATTTTCCAGTGTCAAATGGTGATCATACTGATATTTACTGGAATCCATTTCCATTGACTATGTTTTAGGGCCCTTTGTATAGACCATTTTTTCACTTGAAAAGCCACATTTATTAAAGTATATATATTGTGCTAAGTCAAATTCATAAAATAAATAGGTGGCTTCATATCTATTCAATTGAGAGGTCATCATGCATGGCCCCTGCATCTGATGTGAGCTTGTGAAGTATAGATGTACTCATCTAAGTATTTTATTATCTAATACTATAGCTGAACTTTCAAACTGATTTCTTTCTAAAAAATCATTCCAAGACATTTGAAACTGCAGGCAGGGGTGATGACAGTACAGGCTGAAAGGTGACCTTCCATAAAAATTAATGTATTGGGTGCCTATTGGGTTATATAAATAGATGATTTGAAATTACTTGCACTAATGGCTCACTCTGTATATTTAAACATTGCCCATCTTGTATAGCAATAAATGTTTTTTTTTTCACTCATCCACTCCAACAGTTTTGAAATTTTGTAATGTTTTTATGCTATCATGTTATGTTCAAAAATTTATGTCATGTTCATGAAAAGAATATTTTCCTGGTGAATACATAAATGTCCATTTGGTGTGGGAGTGAAAATTTAGTATGAAATAACATGAAATAATCATACCCATCACTTCATAATGAAATGAGTACCAAATAAAAACATAAGGCCAAAATTTCACATTTTACATTTTCCCTAATCAATAAATAATGCATATTAAGGCATGATGTAGGTACATACAAATAGATATCTGGTACCCACTTTACCCTACAGTTTAATCCATAAAATATGACTAATTCAAAGCAGCCATGGGAATTTAAAGAAATTGTGAAGCCAAAATATAAATTCTTTGTCCTAAATGTCAAATCCCAGTATTATCTAAAGGTGGATACAATGATTAAAATAACAATTTCTCCAACAACAATAAGTGATAACCTTATAGGTACTGAGTACATTTTTTTAGGAGTACTGATAAAATCTCAATATTACTGAAAATTGAATTTTCAAATATGTAAGAGTTCAGAGTTGACACTATCATGATTTTTCTTGTTGAATTTTTTGAGTTCTGTGATTGAACTACCCTGTATCAAAGAATATTTGTTGCAATCATTCAACAAGAAATGTACTTTTTGTTTCCACAATAACTCTGTCTATTAAATAATTGATCTTGGCCTGTAACCTGAGAGTCATCAATGACTCATCTATGAGTGTACCACTGCATACTTTGAATTATGATTTTGCAACTTAAACATAGTGACATACCTTTACTCTAAGAATTTGCTCTCGAAGATCTTGAAGATCATTAAAGGTTGATTGTGCTGTTATTGAGTAAACCAAAACAAACCCCTGACCATTCTTCATATATAAATCCCTCATAGCAGTAAATTGTTCCTAAAATAATAATATTTTAATTATTGAATTGTCATTAGGAAATTAAATAAATGACTTACAGTTCCAGCAGTATCTAAAATTTCCAACATACATTGTTGTCCATCTACTTCCACCTGTTTCCTATAGCTATCTTCTATTGTTGGGTCATATTTTTCTACGAAAATACCTTGTACAAATTGAACAGTTAGAGCTGATTTGCCTACACCCCCTGACCCTAACACAACAATCTTGTATTCACGCATTTTTATGAACTATCTGAAAGAAAGAAAAATCAACTATCTTTGGCCAAAGCTTATGCCAATATCATTATTTTATTACATATGTGTACTGGAGATAATACTGAAGCAAATCTTGAGTGGTTATTCTAACCACAATTCAACAGGAAGCACCAGTATAGTCCTTGCCAGGGAATAGCTACTTAAGGTACATGCATTTATTATTTAATAACAGAAATGCTGTCAGATAATAATTATATCTTAAAAAACAATACTCATTGTTTCTACCATCAAGGAAAATCAGGGGGGGTCAGTGAGTAATGCCCTACATCGGATACATCGGAAATCATCTACATCACATTAATGTAAAATGAGTACATACGTTGGCGCGGTTAACACTATCCAGCTCTCCACTTCCAGGTGAATTATTTGCTTTCAACCACTTCACTATAATAGAGTTTCAACATTCGAAGTTCAGAAGCACTAATTTTTAAACTGTCATGGCTCAACAACTACAATCCATTTTACATTCAAAATTTTGTTTGGCACTCGTACTTGATGACAATAATCATGATCCTGGGCGTATTTCTTCAAATTCTCCAACTTACCGTGTGTATTTTCAATCTTTAATTTGCAGTGTATGAAGATACAAATTTATAATCTTATTGCTGGTTATCAGGGAATATGTATTACATTTCATACATCATACATAGTTTGTCACACTATAGGCTACTATTACGCTTGTCGCTTACTTGGAAATCACCTCTAGCGGCTCTAGCAGCGCATGCCGCACCCGAGAACCGATCGGTTCGTCGTTTAATTTTGGATCATATAACAAAACGCGCTCTGTCTTTTGTCCACTGTCTTACATACATTACATTTTCATTAGATCAATTTCACTTTTCCGGCGCTAGATGGACTGGGAATCGACAATTCGACACTGTCGGTTGTGACTGTGACGTGTGTGACTTGACATGACGTGGATTTGACTCATATATGTACTATTTCTATATATGGGCCATCCCCTATACGATATCTCAACAAAAATGGGACTGAAATGAGAGATACTTTTTGAATCTATAATGGACGGAAAGTGAAGGATGGAAACAGCCATATTGGTTTGACAAGTTTCGTATTATTTTTTCCCTACGTCGGCATCAACGCCTATTGGTCGATTTCCTTACCTATAGAGACAGAAGTTGGTATCGTTTTCAGTACAGCTTTCTCCATATACTAGTAGTAGATATATGATTTGATCTAAAGGGTAATATTTCCATTTCCAATCTTCATAATCCGAGACAATCCGAGACCGGCAACCGAGACTCTTGGTCATGGCCATATCCTATTTCTATATATGGCGCATTGCCTATAGGCGTTGATTGATATATTACGCTTACGCTGTCGCTTCTCCACCGCGATGATTATATTTTACCTCCTGTCTCTAGGAGCTAGTGTCTTGTCCCTAAAGGCTCGGCCGAAATTACTCATTTCCGAAATACAGGGTGTTAAAGTTAAAAAATAAAAATCGAATTCATCAACATTTTTGAAGCCGGGGGCTTTAGGGATGAGAAACCCTAATAACTACACCTTTTCACTGAGGCCATTAGAGGGCATTTATCAATGCACTTCTCATGGTTTAGAAAGGCCATAACTTTTTTCTCAGTGTAGTCTTTTACTTTTGGAAATAATTTTCTCAATATATTATGCAAGAAAGGTACATTTGTGAGAATTCGCTCAAGTAATTAGTTGATTTTGAAAAATTCTATATCTATTTATAAGGTGTTCCTTCAAATCGGCATATTTTCACCTCAGCACCATGTGCTAAGATTTTGTTCAGACCTTTTAGGGACACCCTGTATATTTATAATATTTGTTATAAATCAATGAATGACAACTTTGATCATTTTATGAGCATTTTCAGGCGAGCAATCAGCAATGCATGACTACTAATATTGCCATCGAATAACTTTTAGCAGCTGAGTAAATTCACATTACAACGTCGATGGGATGAAAAAATGTTTGACTACTAATATTCTTATTTTCTTTAGTACCAGAGATTATACACTCCCCTCTGTGTCAGTACTAAGGTGGCTAGTCAGTACGAATATCCTTCAACAGCACAACAGCCAACAGCTGAGTAAATTCACATCACAGCACCGCTGGTGGAATGGGGTAAATGTACCGTTGTCGGTGTGAACTTGGCAGCCGAAAGTGAGCAGTCAAAATTTCGGAAACAGCCGAACAACCATTGGCGTTCGATTTGTTCTTCATCATTATACTTTTACTTGCTAAAAGGATCGAAAGCCCGAAAGGTATAATAACACGATACTCTGACAACTATTTTATGCTGGATTCTGTATTGCTTCTCGCCTCCTTCAGAATGAAGAATCTAGTCAGCTGAGTCAGCTCTAGGGCCAGAGCTGACTATATTCCTTTCTCATTTAGCCCACATTGGTCTGGCAGACATAGATAGACAATCCCTGTACAAATTGGTAACGGTAACGCTCATAAATTGTACGCCAAATTCACATTAGTATTATCGTCAAATGTCAGATGGCGCTCTATCTCTTTTATCGATCGACTCGTAGTAAAATTGTGAAAGAATAATAGTATTTGGGAGTGGCATCAAGATAAGGATCATGATTTATGGCTCACAACATGAAAGGGTCTTAACAGGTAGGAAAATAACTTGTATACTCATTCCTTAAACTGTGTATGAGGTAGATATGGTTCCTTCGATGGTTATTTTTATTCACGCGCGTGTATAGGCATGCACCTGAACAAACTTAAATCTCAGGAAGTCTTCATTGTTTTTTTTACGGGGTAGGTCAAGATGAATTGAAACTTGATTTTGAAACGTATACTTTAAACATAGATTAAAAATAAATTGAAATATCTAAATAGCTGGAACTTATCGAATATACAGAGTGAGTAAAATTGTAGATCGAACATTTTTAAAATTTCAAAATATCGAGAATCTGAATAACATAATTATGGTTTGTCAATGGGTTATTCTATGATATAGGGTGGGTCAATATGCGTACGCCTTTTTGATCGCTTGAGTTCGTTGACGGCAGGTATCTTATTCAAAAACATTGATACCTACAATGATTGATATAATCTGTAATTTCAAATCATGACATAAATATACAGGGTGAGTTGACGAGATTCCGATGAACTCAAGAGATAACTAAATCTACACCGAGATCTACACCTTCTCAAATCTTCAGAATCGACAGAATCTGATCAACTCATCAGTCGCCATTAGGATATTCCATAATATATACAGGGGGCTATAATAAGTACGTTCTCTTCGTATTGCCTGAGTTCTAGTTCTATAATAGCATTATGATAGCTATAAATCACATTTAATATCGTTATGAAACCAAATCAAATAATCTCTGACTGGAAATCATTATCGAATATACAGGGCGAGTGAGTCAAATGGGATATTAATTTTGAGAATTCCAAGAGTTACAGCCGGAATAATCTACACTTTTTCAAATATCTAAAATCTGAGCAACTCTCTTCGATTCCGATAATTTCAAGAGATTACAATACACCTAAGTCTATACCTTTCCATATCTACAGAATCGAGAAAATCTGGGAGCTACATATATACAGGGTGTTCCAGGTTGAAACGTCATTAAATTTTATAAGCGATAAAACAATGGAAAAAAGTTGACTCATGGAAAAACTTTGGTTAAAAATGCTTCCCATCAAAGATACAGGGTGTCAAATTTGTGGGCAGAAATTAGATTTCTCATCATTACTTCCAAACCACTCGACCGATTTTGATCAAATTTCGCACAGACACTAATGTATTTCATCTCTGAGTAATGATTGAGGTTATTCGAGGAAATTCTTCAGTGGCGTAGATAATGGGGGTCGACATATCCTTCTCCCTCACCTAATCTTCGGTTTCACTAAATATTTTACAAAAAGATTACATTTTTGGATTTCTTGTTCAATTTAGAGAATAAAAATACTTTTGCAAATGTTTGATTTATTGCTTCGTTTTCAAGATACTTATTCGAATTTAGAGGGTTGCATCAAAAAGGCTAAAATTTTCGAGGTTTTGTACAGGCTGTACTAGTATGGTTTTCAATAATGTTAATGAAGTAGGTACACATTACACTGTTGATTTTGATGATTCCAAACTTAACGCGGCCGCCGAGAACTCAATAATCGAGGTGTCTAAACTCTGAAACCCTGTATCTCTGTTAGGAAGCATTTTCAACCAAAGTTTTATCATGAAAGTCTACTTCTTTCCCGTTTTTTTGTCGCCTATCAAATTTAATGACGTTTAACCTGGACCACCCTGTATATATATACGTCCACCTCGATTGCTTGAGTTCGGGTTCTATATAATAGCATACAATAGCTATAAATAACATTTGATATCGTTATGAAACTTTATCAAATAATCTATAACTGAAAACTATTATCGAATATACAGGGCGAGTCAAGTGGGATATTGAATTAAGAGAATTCCAACAGTGACAGCCAGCCAGAATCTACACTTTTTAAATCTCTAAAATTTGAGCAATTCAGTCATCAATAGGTTTTTCCATTTTTCTATTATACAGGGTGGATCAATAGTACGTCAATTATCGATCTCAAAAAAAAGTAAATTCGGACTCTTCGTGGTCAGTTCAGAATATTTCAAGAGTGGGCCAGTAAAATAAAATTGTAACATTGAAATAACTTGAGGGAGGAAAAAATACACAAGTGATGAATATTTCAACCCAACATATTCATAGATATTATTTAAATACCATCATGATTTTTGATTACTCCTTTCTACGAAAAGAGAGATCGTGGTTGGGAAGCAATTTACTTTCCATTAAAAAGGTATTGAATTTTGTATTTAATTTGATGAAATGAAAATCAAAAGAAAATTTGAATATTCAAAGTTATTGGACACAATTGAAGGATTCGAAGACCTAGGAATAATAGGTGGTAGATCTAAGACGACGGGGACACAAGTGATGGTACTTTTGGCCAGAGGACTATATTCCAAGTGGAAGATTCCATTAGGATATTTTGTCTGTGGTAGTGCTATGAAACATACCATCCTGAAAGAAGTTGTTGCGTAACGAACTATCGAATTACGAGGGAAGGTTGGAGATTAGTAGACTCACCAGAGTGGACTGTATCGTGATGTGGACTTGGATGTTCTCGTCCGATGTAGATGCGGTAGGCCTACCTTTCAGCTCCCATTTCCTCGAATGTCTATTTTAATGATTCTAGCACTGGACATCCATTGATACACGATTTGTAGCACTAGCGAAAAAATGTTTAACAAAAGGAACTAGTATTTTGCAAGAACCACACAAAGATGCCGGTCACTCGTCTTTCGATGACTATATCTCTTCGTCCATGTGTCTATCCCACCAACCTTCTCAGACACGCGCTTTTTCATACAATCTCTATATACGCGCATTATTGGTACCACACCATAGGCAACCCATAAAGCACAGATAAACAATACATTTATATATATCGATACAGGAATTTATTCCAAATGCTGAAATATTGATTAAACTTAATGAATTTATTATTCTTATTAATTATAGTAGAAAATTAATATTAAACACAAACAATGGGGACGAAACATACTGCCCGCCAAAATACAATCAGGACTTCGATTGTATTTTACTGAGTTATGGTAAGGGACAGAGCTTTATTATCGGCCGAAGAAAACTACCCTGAGCCGTTTTGACAGAAGCTACTCTACTTATTCCATCTGAACCAGGGTGGAACTTTT